CTCAGGCCCTTGTGCTTGCCAGGGAAGCGCTTATTCCACTGAGCCATCTCCCCGGCCCCTAAAAACTGTTTCTTAATTTTGTTTAACTATCTCATTTTTGTACATTTATTATTTTCATCACCAATTTACTTTTCTTTTTTTATGTATTTAGTACAGGGTCTACAGGGTCTCACTACACAGATCGGACTAGTGGGGATCCTCCTGTTTTCAGCCTCCCAAGCGCTGGGATTACAGGCACATGCCCCCACACCCAGTCTCAATCACTGTCTCAGCGTACCCCAGGGGCAAAGCCTGCAAGGCAGGCCAGGGATTGAACCCCCTCCCCCACCCCGCCCTGCAGGTGCTTTAATCCATTGAGTTATCTGGCCAACCCACCAATTTACTTTTCAAACAACACATACTTCTAGAGATAAAGAGGAGGATATTTTAGTATACATGAAAATTCTGGTTTAAAAGGGAAAAAAAATTATTAAACCTTCTGGGCAGGGAGAACTGCTGTGGAATGGCAGGTGGCATGGTCGTTAAAATGGAAAAATGGGACTGGGGACATGGCTCAGTAGAGTAAGCGCTTGCGGGGCCAGTACAAGAGCCTGAGTTCAATCCCTGTTTTGAAAAAAAAAAGGGGGAAATGTCACCTTGGCTGCATTTTATTTTCTATAGTAAGTATTTATTGTTTTCAGAATTCCTATATTTGTCAAATGAGGTGAAAGTAGGGCAGTCACCCTGTGACCCTGAATTTCCAATTCATGTAAAATAAAACAAAAGAAACTCAGCAAGGAACCATATGACACACGTGACACTAACATATTGAAAATGTTCTTGTTCTGGCTTTCTGGTGGCCTTTCACAAATGCTGGCAGGGGGCGGGGGGAAGAGTCATGCGGCTGGAATGGAATCTTGTGGTTACCCATGAAAACAAAGAAGCCCAGAGATTGGTCAATAACACGTATCTCGCGTCCTCTAGTTTCCTTTCCCCAAGAACTCAGGATTAATAAGCAACACTATCGGTCACTGATGCTCAAGGCAAGAATGTGTTTATCCTATATAGAATATGTGCTTAGTAAATGGGTTTTTTGTTTTGTTTTGTTTTGTTTTTTTGGTAGAGTAATGATGATAAATGAACCTAAATGACTTATAGATCATTGGAATTAACCAGAAGTTCTCTAAAAGATGTGGAAGAAAGCTGGCTGAAACATCACAGCAGTTACCCAGATATGTGTGTGAAGCCTTTTCGCTCAAGGAAGTAAATTTCTGGATAAATAGCTGAAGATGAAGACATATCAAAGACGTTGTTTTAATGAGGTAAGTGTTCGGGCAGAAGTGAAGGCACAAGATTTAGAATAGCAGAAGTAACTCTTTCTTAACCCCAAGTGTAGCTATGTGGTCCCAACATTTCCACAGAGAAAACTCTCCTAAGGAGATTTCCACTGGGAACTCTGGAGAGAACCAGAAGCATTTCCTAGGGCTGTATAAGGCTTTGAACTTTAGACATTAGAGGGACCTGTTTAAGGTCATCTTAGGCAATGCGGAGGCTGGGCACTGGCAGTTGTCCACTAAGGCCGCCATGGTGGGACGGACCAGCAATCTGAATCTACCTTTCATGGCTCCACTATGAACATAGGTGCCTGGTACTATGTTGGGAGATGCATTAAACAAAGGTGAAGTGCGGCCCTTCCCCCTGCAACCACTCTTTTCATCTGTTCTTTACAAAGCATCTGCTTTTAACTTGAGGCTGTTCCAAAATACTGTGTACTGGGGAACCATAGCCACTGGAGTTCTTTAATTGCTTACAATTCCAAGTTACAGTTCAAGGTTCAGATTTGATTTTATAACTGAAACATGATTTTGCTATCCAAATAGCCACGGTGTTGTATTTGCCCAACACCTATTGTAATGTTTAATACCAGACACTGAGAATTGGGTCCTCAGTTTCAGCATTTACAGAATGAAAAGTAAAGTCAGATAAAATAATCTCTCAATTTTCTATCATCATCTTAATGCTGGGCCAAGAATATAGCTCAGTGGCGGAAGCACCTTCCTGGCAAGTGCAAGGCCCCAAGTTCAATCCCCAGTACCACAAAAAAACAAAAACCATCCTATGAATGTTCTCAGAACTTAAAAAAATTTCTCTCTATATAGTCTCTCTTCTCTCTAAGTAAATATAATGTGGTTACATAAAAAGATAACACAAGTGGAAATATCTAATGCCCATTTAATGCAGCTTCATAAAATGGCTTTTCTTATAAATATTTTTCCAACTCTGGTTTACAAAGATGAACAGACATACTTGGTTATTGTTATTGTAGAGATCATTTAAACTTTTCATACTGTCTCACTTATCAAATTCTCCACCTTTTCTATAAATTGCTATGTCAATTCCATGTGTATGTTCTGATATTACCTTAACTACATGCCTAAAACCAAATGATTCTAAACATTTAAAACGTAGTCCTCTGCCCCTTCATGTATCTATTTACCAGTTAGTAATATATCATTTCACATCTTCAACCATACAGTCATTTTGATCTTCTCTCTTAAGTCCCTCTTCCTCAAATACATTTAATCATTCACAAAGCTTCTATGACTTTTGACACTGTTACTTTATGTCAGTTGTGTGGTATTAGCTTTAAATTTGCTTTTCACTCTTTTCTATCTGTCCAACAACCATCAAAGTTGATCTTCCTAAAATAGAACATCATCTTCTGACATAACCCTTTACAGATTCTCCACTGGTATGTATATAGGGTAGGTTGGAACCAAGCGTGTATGTGTACATGCATGTGTGGATGTGTATATGTGTGTGGATGTGTGTGTGTGTGCACATTCACACATGCACACTGGTGCTTTTCAAATCCCTGGGATTGTGTCCTACTTTCTTCTCTTGTTTTTTCTTAGCACCGCTTCCCCAGTTTCACTGGCTTTTTTTTTTTTTTTTTTTTTTCTGGAACCAGGGATTGAACTCAGGTCCTTGTGCTTGCCAGGGAAGCGCTTATTCCACTGAGCCATCTCCCCGGTCTCTACACTGGCATTCTTTGTTGCTGTTGGTTCCACAGATGTGCCATGCCTTACGCTCCCACTTACATTAAGTGTGTACAGTCCAATTCAAATTCCCCTTCCAAAGCCCACACTCACCTCTGTGTTGTCTTCTTAGCTATTGCTACCTGAAATGATTCTGTCTTCTAACGCCTTTTGTCATTTACATTTGACACATTTTATCCATTTTAGTTTTAATTTTCATGTGGTTTTAGCTCCCTAACTAAATAACAGTTTAAGTATTTAATAATAATTAAGGGCTACTACCCTATCTCATTCACATAATGGTCTTGATTTTAGAGTCAAACCAACTGTATTTTTGTCTTGGCACTCTTACTTATGGACTGCAATCTTGTTCTTGTTTTCTCATCTGTGAATGGAAATGGTGATGGGTATTCTCTTATAGGGATTTGTGGGCATGACATGACATAATGCATTTTCGTGGAGTGTCTGTCCATTGTGGGACACAGGACAAGATGTAAGCTGTGTGAACAGTATGTTGTGGAACGGGGAAACTTCCTAGCATTGCTAAAAAAGCACACCACAGACACTGCCATTTATGGTTGTCCACCAACCAGCTTCTGTCATGTCCACCCCAGAGACTCTGAGGGTTTTTCCAGGTAGACAAGAGAAGCTTTCATTTTCATACCAATAAAACTTGGTCCTGCTTTAGCAGGCATGGTGTCAGTCCTCCTAGAGTCTTCAGGATGATGCTAAAAATATAGACCACAGGAGCTCCTCTCCTGCTATTTCATTAAATAGGCCTCAAGACTAGCCTACTAGAAGTAAAAACCTTCATATCGTAAGTACAGATAATGCTCCCTGGGCATCGGCAGGAAGGACATATTCAGGTGGGTTTTCATCTACAGCTAAAGAGCCATCAATGATAGCCAAAGAGGTGGGCACATCGGTACTGCTCATCTGAGCCTCAAGGGACAAGGAGGGCAGTGTCTTAGTTTTTCTGAGACACAGTACTCCATACCCACAACTTAGAGGAGGAACAGTTTATCTTGATTTACCGTTTGTATTGGCTTCAGTTCACAGTCAGCTGGCTCGCTGTAGTGGAGATGATAGAGGAGGCTTAGCTTATTATGGCTTAACAGTCAGGAAGCAGAGAGAGAGAGAGACCCTTGCAATACACCCCTGGTGACCCACTTCCTGTGACTGGGATTCACTTTCCAAATCACTCATCCCCTGCTGAGTATAATGATTCTATGATCCAATCACCCCCAAACGTCCTGCTTATGAACACATAAGGCTTTGGGGGTGGGCATCTAAATATAAACCATAACAGGAGGTAAAAGGCATTAAATTGGAAACTACAAAAGCCTGAGCTCCAATACACTCTGTGGATATCACTGTCATTATGTAGTCCAAGAGCTAGACTTTAAACCATCGATGCCCTATTGATAATAAGTGAAAGGCAAGAACTAATTGTTAAAGCAAAAAGTGAGATGAAAGGCAAGAATTCTGACCCAGTAAAACAAACATGTGCTCTAGGTACAACAGATAAGGATCTTTTTGTACATTTTTTGCAGGTAAACTTTCTAACCTGAATTTTTTGGTGAATACACCTGATTGTAATAGCTAGCTTGCCTAAGCGGGGTGACAATTAGACGAGATGTCTTTAAGGCAGAGTGGCACATTGTGGAGACACAAGCCACCAAGTGTGCTCTCACTCCAGCACATGCATCCTGCCCGGGATCCTGATGACTATTCCATAAGCGGGTGAATAAGATGACAGTATTCGAACGTTTCTGAAATGGTGACCCAGATTGTGCTGGGGTTGTTCAATTCCCAGGAGCAAGAGGGCTCTCAGCCCTTAGACTCTGTCACTCGGGCAAACTCAGGTGCAAAGGTGGCTATTTTCCCCACCCCCTGAAAGAGATTTGGATGTATCCTGGGTTTCTTCTCGATTGTCACACGATTGCCATTTTCTATAAAGCTAATTTCCTTGCGGGAAGAAGTCCTTCCCCAGAGTGAAATCGCAACCGCTTCATTTGCTTAAACTCCCTTGTCGGGCTCACCCATGCAGGGTGTGGTCTTTTCTCCTTACGGAAAACCGACTGTGAGTAAACAACCCCGGGGAGCCTGCCCCGAGCGGGCGGATCGCCCTGGCCGCCCGGCCGCGCTCGCGCGCCTGCGGGGAGATGGTGCTGCGGCCGAGCGGCGC